TCTGAATTAATTTTGTTACTATAACTTCCTTTTCTTATATGAAATCATTAGAGCAGACCCAGTGATATTAAAACGTTTTATAATGAACTTTTTTGTTATAATTACACTATCTATCTTTCCCGTTCCATTTATTTAATATGATTATTTGGCTGTACAAATGTATTTATTCACGAAAAAGTTCAACTAAAAACCAACTCCATCTCGATCTGATTTTCGTCCCGTTTCTCTGATCCATTGAGTAAATTGCTGAGATGGCCCCTTGTTTTGCATCTGAACATAAATTTAACTTGACTATACCGCACGTCTTGTTGAGCTCTCCTTTGGCTAGATGTGGTAGGAGTAGAGCCGGTGGTTTGGATTAACATTTTGTTCGTAATATTTGTTGTTCGTTTTGCTCAAATCTGCAGTACGTTTACCGATGCAAATAAGTTTTCTTTATCTTGGGAGTGGAAATGTTTAGTTTCCAATGTTGCTAACCTCGTTCCTTTTCAAACTTTTATTCATCATTCAACTATTTATAGTAAAAATGTTGGAGCACGTCAAGAAAACGTGCGCAGAAGGTACTTCTCCCCATGTCACATACAGTTTGTACTGTTGATTGCGTAGTCTTCCTTGGCCGGAGTTGTTGTCTAGGCTATCCGGGACGAATCGCATCTCTGTGGTGGTGTCTAACGCTTTGGTCAACATGTGGCCTTTCGCAGAGAGTACATCTGAGGAAGGCCACACCGCGACAGAGACGCGGCTCGTACCCGGATAGCCCAGTCATTAGCTTTCAGTGTTCTTCGACTGAATAAACGAAATGAAACCGCGCGCGTGGGAGCCGGTGATGAGACGGACGCGCGCGTCGCTTGCAACAGGCGGCTGGGCGAGTGCGTGCCGGTGGAGCGGTGCGAGGAGGGCCAGCTCTTCTGGCCGGCGACGCGGCGCTGCTACGAAGCGCTGACGCGGGGGCCCTGCCCGCGCGGGGTAGCTAGCTCGATTGGACCTCTTCGCCGCGCCGGCCCGCCATAGAGACGCGGCGAGAAGAACAACGATCCGAGCCAGCCGCCCCAACCACCGCGCCCACCACCGGAACGCCCCCCGGCGACGACCTGAACGGGCTGGCGGGATGACGCGTGCTCGCAGCAAAAGAGGCAGAGACTCGATAGCACATATAGAGGCGCAGAGACGCGGGCGGGAAGAGGCGAGAGGCCGAGAGGGCGGGGGCGGGGGCGGGGACGCGGGGACCGGAGACGGGCGGCGCCTGCTACGAGCACTTCACGCGCGGGCCCTGCCTCGAGAGCGGCCACCTCTTCCTGCCCGGCGCCACCTGCGGCTGCCACGACCGCCTGCCGCACTTCCACAACGACACCGGCCGCTGCTACCCGCTCGGTAAGACCTGCCAGCCCGCCTCTTTCCAAAAGAAGTTCAAGTAGCAACTCACAAACGAAACGCACTCTCTCTCTCTGTGCAACACTTTCATTCTTTTACTAATAGTTATGTATGCACCAAAGCCGTTATAAGGATTCTAATGACCGAGCGGCTACAAAATTCCCGAGGGCCTTTGGCTTCAAGCCTTTTGCCGCCCGAGGTCATTAGAAACAGTTCACGCCTGTGGCACATACAAAATTGTATTTTTTACCTAATTTTATGGATTCATATTTACTAATTAACTAGATGTTAAGTTGACTCGATTTGTCTTTTCATATTTTCCTCCATAAGCATGTAGCAACATTCAATTGTTTTCATATTTCCCTCCTAACCATTACTCTCTCGATCCAGTGTACATCGAGCTCCGAACCAAAAGCAGTATTAAGCAAGAATGTAACAGTAAAAATAAATACAATTTCTTGCCATACCCATTAGTTCGCCAACGGCTGTTCCTTATCGTCACCCATGCAATTTGACAAAACATTCTCCATGAACTTGACAATTTTTTGAACCCCAAAAATAATTTATTGCCGTTTTTACCTGAAGTAAAGTGAATGCTTCGACATTCTGATAAATGGTGAACAGTATTAATTCAACAATAAGTAAAACGAGTTTTTGGTAGGTTACTTCAAGTCTCTACTTCAGAATTGCCATATTCCTGAGTCATCAGTTTTAGGATCACTGAACTTGTTAAAGACAATCGAGGGAATATCGTACAATCCGAGTTTTAAAATGGGTGTCTTCCTCACAAAACGGTGGCGCACTTAAACACCTAGATTTAAAATACGCATAACAAGTAACATGTAATGACTAGTCTGCATTTAAGGTTCGCCACTAAAAAAGTGGAAGAGCCCAATTTAACTTTTAGCAGTGGTTTTCAAACTGTTCCGCGATAGTGATGTGCGTTGAGAGAAACGAAATACGATAGGTCCTTGAAACTCGAGACAAGCAAGAAATTGTATTACATTGCCAATAGTTCATGCGAAATGGAAAACAGAGCATGATGAGGAATGACGTACGAATTATAGGAACTTAGTAATTTAGAAGCAAAAAGGAGCATCCTTGATGCAATTAATGTATAATGAGAACATTCTGTTTTCAGTAATCATCTCCGAGTTAGTGCTTTCAAAACTACATTTACTTTATAGTCGCGTAATCATAATTTTTACTTTAAAAAAGTGAAATATTAAAGTAAAAAGTTAAATATTCAGTATGAACCCGAATTACCATGTTATAGGAAGTCATTAATTGTTCAAGAATTCGGTGCTTACTGAGGAACTTGAATTTATAATGCAAGGTGAATTTCGTGTTGTGTCGTAATACATTTCCCAGATGACGTAAGTACATTCGGGAATTCGCCGAGTCGCATATCAACTGTTCTCAGAGAAAACAATCGTGCCACGTTTCCCATGCTTGTGCCTGACACGTCAGGTCACAAAAGTTGCTTTTATTTCCTGGTGTTTTGATGAGTAGTAAGATAGGCCCCCAGTCAAGTAATCGCTTGTAACACCAACGCACTGTGTAGAAATATGAGCAAAGATTTGGTTACCTCATCCACCTGAACTGCGTATTTCCAACCAGGGTTGCCTCATCCCATTTTCCCCTACTTCAAAAATCCTATTAAGGTTTAAAAAATAAGTAATCATCCTTGAAAAGCCCATACAAAATATCTTAATGTTTGAATGATTTTTTAAAATTATTTTAAATAAAGTAGTAAATCTTATAATAATCTTACAATATATAATATTGTATGAATTGAAATATTACTAAATTTACTCAAATTTACGTAACTTCTGTATTTCACTCCAAATGGTTTTCAAATTCAAAATGAAATTTGGTTCAAGTGATGACATAAGTATTTTGGATGAACTAAAATTTAAAAAAAATAATAATATTCCTTACGAAACCTAAAAAAATAATATTCACAGGATCGTTTTTCAACTTGTTTTTTTCCAACCCTGTTCAAAACTGTTAGAACTTTATTTCTTATACTACCGTAGCAATACTATCCTGTTAAAAGCATCAAAATTCCTGGAATTTCAATACAATTGATTCGATTTGTTCCAATAATCTTCTTCCCGCTATGAGGTTGGCTTACTCAATAATAAAGATAAAGGAGAAGATTAAAAACTTTAACTTTAGCAATTTTCGTCAGATCAGACACTGTCCTGGAAATCAGACCTTTCCCCTCTTCATAAGCAGACGTGTCTCTGTTCAAGCAAAGCTTTATAAAAATATTTTGAAGCTGTTCTTTGAGAAAATTTGAACACATTTCACGGACTTCAAAGTACCCGCAAAATGAAATTATCGGTTTCAAATTCGCAGGGCCACAAGTTCAGCGAAAACAATGGGGGGATTACGCATTCAGTAGAAAATCTTATGTATTTAAGCACCAGTATTTTTCAGACGAACAGGCAGATTGTCAAACGGGCGAAGAGGTACACAGACAGGAAGCGAAGCAAAGCAAAACGTTTTCGATATCAGAGAATCAAAAAACGTATACTTCAGGTCGAGATCCATTGCAGCATTTCACGGTGTTCTTTATACTACACACAAGAATAAGTCATAACAACTTTATGTATTTCTGTACTACCTGACTCATTCCTACGCTAGCAACAGATCGTGTGATTATTCGCCCCTAATCCGCTCCAAAATAAAGAGAACGGATACCGACCAGTCGACAACAAAAAAATATAACCCTCTCGCGGTCGGTTAAAACTTCGGCTCCTCTATGCCTGTGCCGTTTTCACGCGAACTCTCTCAACCGGTTCGAACTCTGTCGGCCCCCGCTGGCGGAATTCCGTTCCACGGCCACAAGCCGGCCCCGGCGAGGGAACGAGCGATCACGGGCGTGTTTCTCGCTTCCGCCGCTACCCGCGATCGCGCGTCGACACCCCGCCGCCTGGGAACTTTTGGCGAACGACCGCCGCGAGCGAAGCCGCTACTCCGACGAAACAAATGAGTGAACTGCCTGGCCGAGCGGCTCCGCGCCGCCGAGCTCTTGTTCTTGGCCAAACAACGGCGTTTGACGTTTCGATAGCAGGCAACGGAACCGCGATCACGCTGGCGTAACTACGACTGTTACATAACGGAGAAAAGTGGCTTTCTTTTACATTTAAAAAAAAAGACAGAAAAAAATCACAAGAACAAAACGCCACCTACTTCTTATGAAATTGTAAGGGAAGTTAGTAAGAATGATTTTTTTCTCATATTCTATTACGAGGCCTTCCAGGAGAGTATATAAAAATCGTTCGAATATTTTACAATGACGATCGAATGATAAGTCCAATCCTAACAGAATCGGAAGATCTTTCATTTAGCTACCAAATCTTTTAAATACTACATAATACCATCACTATCATATAGGAAACTTCAACATCGTATACGTTTCTTTTCGTAACCTAATGTCCGCACTTGTTTAGTTTTTCATTTCGCCGTGACGTCCTACTCGACATCTTCGCTAATCCTCTTCGCTCGCCCCCAGAAAGTAAGTCACGTCATGTTCAATGACGAGGCTGCCGTATTTCTTGCGTTTGCTGCCGAGAATTAACTCTCCCTCGCACCGCAATGCGTCACGAATTCTTCGCGCAATGTTTCTCCCGTGCGAGCGAAGCACGCGTTACGTGCGTCTTACATCACCCCCCAATGAGCACGGCAGGCTCCCGGTACTGAGCGTGGAGGCCGATTTCCTCCATTACTCCGTTCATTATCTTGCGACATGGAAGCGGAACTCGGTTTCCGGCGAGTAACACGGAGATCGTACGGCGAAAATGGTCCCTCTGAAGTTAGATACCTAACCGCTTTCGACGAGTTCCCACGCGCAATATTTTAGTGCGGAAAAACCTTCTCTCCCCCACAGAAAAAAAGAGAAGTAATTTTCAGAAACCTTGTTGATTATGACCAATGGCACATCAAGACATGTAGTCAGACATCCTATTGCAAACACTTATAATTTCTAGTCATTAAGTTATACTTCCAATATCAATAGTTATTTGTGATACGAGTGGTAAAAGTGACACATTTTTAGACAACCTTACGGACATTCATTTTATTTTTATTCACGGATATAGATCACTTAGCGATACATTAGGGCCAGTAGTAGCAGATGCGATCACACGATTTTTATTTACTTATTTACTTATTTATTTATTTATTTTGCATTCACTGATTTATATCAATACCTTAGCATCGTCTCACTTTAAGCACCAGTGCTAAAAATTGGACTTTTATAACTCTACTGAAAGAACCGATGTTGCTAATTGCTGTCTAAAAAATATATTATGCTATTCCTCTTTGACCTTTAATGCAAGCAGTGTTTTTTATTATGAACTGTTATTTTGAAAGTTGTGATCATTTGCACAGTCCAGAGAATAATTTCATTGAAACCCGCTCCTTGTCTACATCCCAAACAATACCATACAATTCTTCACCACTAGATAATGAGCTTTCAATATTTAGAAATATGTAAGACAAATTACATCCAAAAAACAAGATATAATTATAGTTTATTTTTATAATGGACACGCCTCGTACGAATTACAAAATTATTTCAATCAAAGCAGGTACGCATCAGTATAAAAACTTTAAATACGATTTTAAGAGTAATTTTTTAGAAATGTTTGAAAAAATTGTGGGTTTCATGCAAAATACCCCCAAAACTGCAAGATCCTATCCAAATTTGAGAACCCGCGATATCACCCAGATCGATCCCAGAAAATCGATTTTGATGAAAGTTCCGTGTACGGTTTAGGCGCTATTTAGTGCTTAAATACTCGCACTACATTCTAGTATTATTCACAGAAAATTGGCCAGATAGACAAACGAATGGACAGATGAACGGAAAGGCGTTTTCAAAACAAGCACTTTATCGGTATCAGACACCTCCAACACATTTACTTCCGTCAAAATAACGACATCGATTTACTGTAGCTATACATAACTTCATACAACGAGAAAAAACAGGAAATGCTTCACTGAGATTGATCAATCGTTCGACGTAAATCTTCGACATTCGTTTCTCCCACGTCCGATGCGGACATTTCGCCGAACGGGCATTATTTTTCCGGCGGGGATCGAGTCCCACCAGGCGCCGCCTAACGACCACACTATAGGCAACCCCCCGAACACTCCAGCGTTGCACACGGTATCCACACCTGACGGACGTGCAGATGAAGCGCACTACGGACACACTCTCTTACGTTTTACATGCAAAAGAGTCACTAACAAGTTAGTACAGCACGTTGTAAAACGACACAGCAACAACCTGTCACGATCAGCTCATTAGTGGGTTAAGTATTCGATCAAATCAAATCGGAACGATTCTCGGAAAAAAAATTCCAACAAAATGAAATGGTTCAAAGAATATTCCGAGGAATTTTCAGTATGTTTAGTAAAATGTTCAATAGGTTCTAGGGAATATAGTCAGCCAATCAAACGTAAATTTTTCAATTTTCTACATCTTTGTTGTACTTTAATTACATTATTACGTTATCTCGAAAAGGAACTTAAATACATTATCAATTGCAAATTCACAATGCAATTTTACGAGTTTTCTCTCCGCAAAGAACGACAAAACTGGAAACGGCCATCACCTTTTGAGAAGACGCCCTATACGCAGCGGTGAGCGCCCTAGCTTTTCACCTTCCGGTGCCGGGGCACAAATTCTTTAGAATCCGTTTTAAATATCAGTAGACAACTCGATTCCAGGCAGGGTTTCGGGCCTCTCACCACCTACTTCAGAATAGCCCCGTCAGTAAACAGGACACGAGCACGGCAGCTGTTGGTTCCGTGATTACACCGGTTCAAGGTGCAGCGTCGCTGATCGAGAATTCCGAATGTGGCGAATATTCCACACTAGCTAGACACCGTAAACAGAACCCTAACAAACGCGATCTTGCCTCCCTAATCCTCGTCCTCTCTTCTCCCTCAGACGCATACAGACTCTTGCATTCACTGCACTTGCACGCTTATCGGGAGGCGAGTCGGGAAGTTACAGCTTGTTCCGGCTGTGGCCATGAATTCAGTTGGGCTGGGTTGAATTCAGTCTCTCTCTGGCGGAGAATTCCAGAGGCCCGTTGCTCTGACCGGTAGTTTTCCGTGGTTTCTCCGATCACCAGGCGAATGCTGGAGCAGTACTCTAACAAACGGCCACCGACCGCGATCTTTCCTACCTCTTCCTTGTCTTACCCTCACCCCTTACATGCACTACACATGCCGGGAGACCGGTCGGGAGTTCAGAGCTTGTCCCGGTTGGGGCGGTGCCCAGCTGATGCGAGATACCTCGTTGGGGAAAAAACCGCTGGCCGACGGTAAGTCGACGCCGGATTTCGCACTAGACTTACGGGACACACATACAGTACACTTACGGGACACATGACTAGTAGTTGACGCGCCCGGAATCACTCACAATCAATCAATCCAGCTGTAACACGTACTACACTCAGAGGACTGATGACCAAAGTAATTCGAAAACACGAAATACTCTCTAGTAATATCATTATACTCGCACAATTCCCTCAATTCATTCGCCTTACTAGGTGAGGAGGCACAACTTTGTAGTTCGGTCGAATTCATCCGCTATCTCGAGAAGAATTGTGCTCTCCGGTACACTGCTCGGGCGTTTTCCGTTGTTTCTCCAATACAAAGCGAAAGCCGGAGCAGTACCCCAAAAGACGAGCCGTCTGGCATTCCTCCTGTTTTCCTCGTGCCCTTCCCTTGCACCCCGATGAAGAGCGTGCGGCGGTGCGCAGGGTCGGCGGGGCCGTGTCCGCCGGGCCACCGCTTCGAGGCGGCGCCGGGCGAGGCGCGCGCGCGCTGCCGCTGCAAGGCCGGCCACGTGCCGTGGGCGCGCGACGGCGCCTGCTACCGCCTCTACACGCGCGGGCCCTGCCCGGAGGGCCAGTTCCTGCTGGACCGCGGCACGTGCGCCACGCTGTGCCAGCGCGGCCGCCTCTACTTCCCGGAGCGCAACATCTGCTACCGCGTGGGGCTGCGCGGGCCGTGCCCGCGCGGCCAGGTGGTGCTGTTCGAGTCGGCGGTGCGCGCGTCGGTGGACGGCGTGTCGTACCGCGGCACGTGCGGCTGCCCCGACGGCCGCGGCGGCGGCGCGCGGGACTGCTCCCGCGGGGCGGCGGCGGCGCAGGGGCCCGTCTACTGCGACGCCAAGGCCGGCATGGTGCGCTGGAACGGCACCTGCCACGCGCTCTACTCGCGCGGGCCGTGCGCGCAGAACCAGTGGTTGGTGCCCGAGCGCGAGGGCCGGCTGCTGTGGGACGAGGCCGGCTGGCGACGCAAGCAGAGCGCCGCCCGCTGCGACTGCCGCCCGGGCTACAAGGCGGTGCGCGCAGGCGCCGGCGACGCCAGCGGAGACGGGGACCTGCAGTGCCAGCCGCCCGCCGTCTCCCTCGCCAAGTTCCTCAACCAGAAGTACCACCCCGACACCGACAGGGGGCCCGACCAGTGGTGGTGATGAGCACTTCGCCTAGTCCGGTAGCCGCACACACGCCGAGCTTTCTCAGTAGCTGTTCGGCCGATACGATGAATACCTCAATCTTCGTCGAGTTTCACGCGATGGACCCCAAACCGTCACAAAAGAACTCTCCACATCAACAATCCCAGAAAATTTATCACCAAAAGTTGCTACCTATAAACACTAACTCTCTACATATCTCACGAGAACTGCTGTCTTCAGCAATCTCTACAACTAAGAAACTGCAAGTGACAATAAAGACATTAAAGACTTGTATAA